TTTCATTTTTCATTACACCAAATACACAAAATAATGTTCTTTTTAGCAGCATCATATGACCCCTTTATTGATTTTTTATTAAATTAAAATATATTTAAGCAGCACATTTCTGAAGAGACTGAGGCCTTGCCAAATAAGTCAAGTTCCAGAATTCTGTTTATGCTGTGACCAATTTGCAACCAATTTCAAAATATTTAATTTGTTTGAGCCCTGAAATATCGAGAACATTCAAATTTAATGCAGGCATTTACACATGGCATTTGCACATAAAATAAAGATTTAAATGAAAAATGCAAAGCACTCGCATACCGTAACAATGTTTATTAAAATGACATCATACAGTGCACGGCTTATAGATTCATATGATCACAACTGATCATTTCATTTCCTTCAAGTGACTTCAATCAGTCAACTTTTGTTTATAAAAATAGAGAGGCTACAGAATTCAAAAGAAAAGGCAAGAACACTTCAGAAACATGGAATACATATATTATGTGCCTAATATACAAATATATACATTTAATAAATAGGAAAAAGGAACAGTTTTGGTGTATTTGTGGCTATTATGTGGGGCAGTCAACCCTGTCAGGCCTGGAAAACTGTCAACATTTCTTAGATCAAATGCATCTTGTTTTACTTCTTGGCTGGCTCATGTGTAAACTAAAGTTGCTATGAAGGGGGTGATGAGAAACAAAACAAAAGTGGCAGAATCGTTTGTTAATTTTGCTTTTACCAAACAAAACTGAATTGAAGGAGGTGACAAAAAACACACAAAATAAAAGTGGCAGAATCGTTTGTTGATTTTGCTCTTTTACCAAAGGCTTCTTTGTCTTTCACGAAGACCACGGCCTCACCTCCACGGGAAAGGTAGGAAAATTCACCTTCTTTGGCACTGAAGATGATTCTGGATTAAAAAACACAAACATTTTGAATTCTGCACAAGTTTTAAAGGTATAAAATAAAAAACAAAAATAAAATGTGTTGCAATAAAAATGCACAATATAAAAAAAGAAAGATATATATATATTATAGGCAAAATAATATATAATACATAAAATGGTATAAAGAATGTTTAAAAACATGTCTCTCTGCTTACTTAGACTGAGTTTCTCCTGATTTGATGCATAGTTTACGAATGTGGAAGGTATCGGGGTTCCACCATGGCCAGCTGATGAGGGTGTCTTTCTCCCAGAGAAGTTTTACCATCAGTAGCTCTCCGATGTCCGCATCCGTGGTCAGCAGGAAAGACACGGTGGTGTTTGTGTTCAAAGCAGGCCTGTGGAAGCAAAAACCATCTCTATCACTTTCTCTGTTATCTCAGCACAGTACAGAGTCCAATCTGAAGCAAAACCTGGTCTAAAGTAGTTGCACAACCTGATTTTTGCTACATAAGGTCATAAAAATCACTGAAACCAACGAAAAGTCTCTGGATCTTTCTTGGTAAACATCTTAACATTGCATTTTTGCTTAATTTAGAACTAATGTGAACTAAGTCCTGACATATCCATCAGGAAATGCTACTAGCTTACATAATGTAGGGGATATTTTCCTTCTCGCCGTGGATTCCGTACAATGAGATCTTCATGGGCTGATCAGTGTAGCTTAATTTTGTCTTGCCAAAGAAGTGGACCTTCACTTGATAATGGAAAACTGAGGAAAGATGATTATATTTAGAACAGATTTTTAAAAAACACTAAAAATAAAATATTGATGTTTCATGTTTAAAAATATAAAATAAATTTTCCATTTATTTCATTATAAACAAATAAAAACGAATTTATTCAAATAATAAATATAAAAATATATTGTTATGTATTTTAAATTTTCAAAAAAAATCTAATAACATAATACTAATTAATTTTATTATTGGAGTAAAATGTATATAATTTATTATTTTATTTTTATATTATTTCTGTTTTATAAAATATAAAATACATTTTACAGGAATATATATATATATATATATATATATATATATATATATATATATATATATATATATATATATATATATATATATATATATATATATATATATATATATATATATATATATATATATATATATATATATATATATATATATATATATATATATATATATATATATATATATATATATATATATATATATATATATATATATATATATATATATATATATATATATATATATATATATATATATATATATATATATATATATATATATATATATATATATATATATATATATATATATATATATATATATATATATATATATATATATATATATATATATATATATATATATATATATATATATATATATATATATATATATATATATATATATATATATATATATATATATATATATATATATATATATATATATATATATATATATATATATATATATATATATATATATATATATATATATATATATATATATATATATATATATATATATATATATATATATATATATATATATATATATATATATATATATATATATATATATATATATATATATATATATATATATATATATATATATATATATATATATATATATATATATATATATATATATATATATATATATATATATATATATATATATATATATATATATATATATATATATATATATATATATATATATATATATATATATATATATATATATATATATATATATATATATATATATATATATATATATATATATATATATATATATATATATATATATATATATATATATATATATATATATATATATATATATATATATATATATATATATATATATATATATATATATATATATATATATATATATATATATATATATATATATATATATATATATATATATATATATATATATATATATATATATATATATATATATATATATATATATATATATATATATATATATATATATATATATATATATATATATATATATATATATATATATATATATATATATATATATATATATATATATATATATATATATATATATATATATATATATATATATATATATATATATATATATATATATATATATATATATATATATATATATATATATATATATATATATATATATATATATATATATATATATATATATATATATATATATATATATATATATATATATATATATATATATATATATATATATATATATATATATATATATATATATATATATATATATATATATATATATATATATATATATATATATATATATATATATATATATATATATATATATATATATATATATATATATATATATATATATATATATATATATATATATATATATATATATATATATATATATATATATATATATATATATATATATATATATATATATATATATATATATATATATATATATATATATATATATATATATATATATATATATATATATATATATATATATATATATATATATATATATATATATATATATATATATATATATATATATATATATATATATATATATATATATATATATATATATATATATATATATATATATATATATATATATATATATATATATATATATATATATATATATATATATATATATATATATATATATATATATATATATATATATATATATATATATATATATATATATATATATATATATATATATATATATATATATATATATATATATATATATATATATATATATATATATATATATATATATATATATATATATATATATATATATATATATATATATATATATATATATATATATATATATATATATATATATATATATATATATATATATATATATATATATATATATATATATATATATATATATATATATATATATATATATATATATATATATATATATATATATATATATATATATATATATATATATATATATATATATATATATATATATATATATATATATATATATATATATATATATATATATATATATATATATATATATATATATATATATATATATATATATATATATATATATATATATATATATATATATATATATATATATATATATATATATATATATATATATATATATATATATATATATATATATATATATATATATATATATATATATATATATATATATATATATATATATATATATATATATATATATATATATATATATATATATATATATATATATATATATATATATATATATATATATATATATATATATATATATATATATATATATATATATATATATATATATATATATATATATATATATATATATATATATATATATATATATATATATATATATATATATATATATATATATATATATATATATATATATATATATATATATATATATATATATATATATATATATATATATATATATATATATATATATATATATATATATATATATATATATATATATATATATATATATATATATATATATATATATATATATATATATATATATATATATATATATATATATATATATATATATATATATATATATATATATATATATATATATATATATATATATATATATATATATATATATATATATATATATATATATATATATATATATATATATATATATATATATATATATATATATATATATATATATATATATATATATATATATATATATATATATATATATATATATATATATATATATATATATATATATATATATATATATATATATATATATATATATATATATATATATATATATATATATATATATATATATATATATATATATATATATATATATATATATATATATATATATATATATATATATATATATATATATATATATATATATATATATATATATATATATATATATATATATATATATATATATATATATATATATATATATATATATATATATATATATATATATATATATATATATATATATATATATATATATATATATATATATATATATATATATATATATATATATATATATATATATATATATATATATATATATATATATATATATATATATATATATATATATATATATATATATATATATATATATATATATATATATATATATATATATATATATATATATATATATATATATATATATATATATATATATATATATATATATATATATATATATATATATATATATATATATATATATATATATATATATATATATATATATATATATATATATATATATATATATATATATATATATATATATATATATATATATATATATATATATATATATATATATATATATATATATATATATATATATATATATATATATATATATATATATATATATATATATATATATATATATATATATATATATATATATATATATATATATATATATATATATATATATATATATATATATATATATATATATATATATATATATATATATATATATATATATATATATATATATATATATATATATATATATATATATATATATATATATATATATATATATATATATATATATATATATATATATATATATATATATATATATATATATATATATATATATATATATATATATATATATATATATATATATATATATATATATATATATATATATATATATATATATATATATATATATATATATATATATATATATATATATATATATATATATATATATATATATATATATATATATATATATATATATATATATATATATATATATATATATATATATATATATATATATATATATATATATATATATATATATATATATATATATATATATATATATATATATATATATATATATATATATATATATATATATATATATATATATATATATATATATATATATATATATATATATATATATATATATATATATATATATATATATATATATATATATATATATATATATATATATATATATATATATATATATATATATATATATATATATATATATATATATATATATATATATATATATATATATATATATATATATATATATATATATATATATATATATATATATATATATATATATATATATATATATATATATATATATATATATATATATATATATATATATATATATATATATATATATATATATATATATATATATATATATATATATATATATATATATATATATATATATATATATATATATATATATATATATATATATATATATATATATATATATATATATATATATATATATATATATATATATATATATATATATATATATATATATATATATATATTATAATAAACTTTGGTGCCCCTCACCTTTATATGGCATAACGTCTCTGGTCTTCATGTACATCTTGCTGCTCCTGCGTGTGCGAATTTTGTTGACTCTGTAGCCCACCTTGTTGCAGCGGTTCTTGCGGCAGCTGAGGCACATGCCCTTGTTGAAGCTGTCTTTGGAGCTGCAACGGTAAGCAAAGCTTTCTTGCTCCTGGTTCACCAGCGAGTCGATGAACAGGTGGATGGAGCGCTCGTGGGAGCACTTCACGATCTGATCCATGTCTGTGGAGAACCAAGAAAAACATTGAAGCTTGTGTTGAAATCTAAGAACGTCTGAGGAGGACAGTGGGAACGTACTTCTTAAACCAGTGGTGGCCACCATCAACACAGTGTTCTGGAGGTCACAGCCGGGTTGGAATGTTCCTCCGTTGGGGTAGATGTCTATGTGGCCCACTGGCCTCTGAATCCCAATGCTGCGATCTGGGGAACCGCGGGTGTTGGTGTGAAGAACGTCCACAAAAAGGGCATCATCGGGAGAAAGAGTGCTTTGGGCATCTGCATACTCAAAACTAGGGCCAGCAGGATCCATGCCTAAAGATCCAAGAAGATTGGTCCATTTTAATGGTTGGCCTTTGCATTTAAGGGCTCGAATGGTAAAATAGAAAATTGACACCCAAATAAACAACATCAAGTTACCTGTGATTCTGTTAACTTTATGTTTGGTGAGAAGACCAGCGATTCCTGCTACATGAGCGCCAAGACTGTAGCCCAAAAGATGGAGCTTCTCCCAAGGATAGTCAATCTCAGCCTGGATGAAGAAACAAGACAAGATCAAGTTTACTGCATAAAACAAACTCTATATCTTCATCAGATGCTCTTCACCTTGATGTAGAACAAACCATCTCCGAGTGTTTGACATACCTGTAACCAGTTGACAAACTTGGCCACATCCCTCCCCACTAGTTTGGTGTAGGCGGCTGATGTAGGGTAGTGTTGTTGCGCGCGGGACAACCAGTCCACCACAATCACGTTGGCTGTTGGCTCTCGTTCAAGCAGGGCTGTTACCAGTTTGGGAACCCAGCTTTCAAACATACCCGTAACCTGAGATGAAGTCATTGGAGTCATGGTTTGGACCGCTTTGCACATTATGATCATATTACCCCAATTTTACAGTCTCTGCACTGGCTACCACATTTTGCTATAAGTTTGATTGCATCATATAATAATTGCTGTTAATAGTGTTCATCGTCTGTTTTATTACGTCTTAAATTGATTTTTCCGTACTGCTGGTTCGTCTGGTCAGAGGAGAACTGGCCCCCCGACTGAGCCTGGTTTCTCCCAAGGTTTTTTTCTCCATTCTGTCACCGATGGAGTTTTGGTTCCTTGCCGCTGTCGCCTCTGGCTTGCTTAGTTGGGGACACTTAATTTCCAGCGATACCGTTGACTTGATTGCAAAGATACTATTTAAACTGAGCTGGATGTTGACATCACTGAATTCAATGATGAACTGTCTTTAACTGAAAAATTAGTGTTTACTATTGTCATTTTGCATTATTGACACACTATTTTCCTAATTAATGCTGTTCAGTTGCTTTGACACAATCTGTATTGTTAAAAGCGCTATATAAATAAAGGTGACTTGACTTGACTTGACTTGACATTAATTCAAGATCGTCAACAAGTGTAGTAGAAGCACTCACCGTCCATCCGTGAATAACTATGAAAGTCTTGTTGTCTGGATTGAAGTTACATTCTTTGATGGTTTCAGGTTGACCTGGAACTATGTAGCAGAGATCGTCTTCAGGTTCTTCACTGGTCCTGAAGGAAAACTTGGACTCTATATCACTGAAGTCCGTCATCCATTCTGTGCCATTGTCCATGATGTTATCTGTCCAAAACCAGATCAACAATGAGTTTAACAGCCAGCAAAGTAAGTGCTGCTTACATTAAATGCGTTTTACTTGTAAGCTGCTTATAAAAATTTTAATTATTGAAGTTGTAAAGAAGATTATCTTGCATGTGCTTATACTTTTCCCTTATTTTGTATACGAAGTATTATTTCCAAATGGCAAGCTTGGATCCTTTCCCGGTGCTTAACTGACTATACATAAAAAACATTTCACTATAAGTCCGTCAATATGTGTTCATAACTGACTTTTCGGGCATATAAACAGAGTCTCAAACAACCATTTGACCTGATAATTACCATATTGTTAAAAGTCAACCAATTAGACTATTTGTTTTTCAAAGAAATTAAGTTTTATAGATAATGTTTACAAATCATCAAGTTTCATAAGATATTTTGTAAGGTAATAAAGATAATTTGCAAGTGCCATATGAATAATAAATGCTACTTAAAAATACAAGATTAATAAAAACAAACAAAAAATTTTTCACAGAAACCAAACATGGTCTTTTAAGACATAAAAATAATAATACAGTATATAAATCATATTTAAATATATAAAATGTATAAATTAAAAATACAATATATACTGTATGAAAACTGCTTTGTGAAATCCTAATATTTTGCAGCATCCAGCATTATCTTCTGATACATAAAAGTTTACATAAATACAAAATATAAAAGTACAAATTTATAGAAAGATGAAGTAGGCTATACAAGTATAAATTTAAAATGCAATAAAAGGCATGTTTCGTACATAACTTAAGTGGTCATACTGGTGCCGTAACATCGCTTTCTGATATTTGTGTATATTGATATTGATTATTCGACTTCCCCATCAAAATATTCTAAGTTAGGCACCGGAAACTGTAACACTTTTTAAACTTTATAAACAAGTTTCATTCTATGATTTTATAAATCAAATAAGCTTATACTTACTAAAAGTGGTAAATTCACTCGGCTCAATCGTAGTTGCAAACCTCGAGGAAATGTAGACAAAAAACGTCCAAGATATAAAACAAGCGCTGCTTACTCTCCCCATATTAATATAATTAGAATGATCACGGATGCAATAACTTATTAAATTAAGTGTAAAAGTCGTTGAGATCCGGGTATTTACAGCGTTACAACAGGTTAATATTCTAGTTGGGGGTAGCAGCTGCTTTAGATGACTTGCGTGCAGAGTTTCTCTCAAGAGTTTAAATCAGTACCGCTACAAGCTTGTCTTTATCCACCCGTGCGGGACCGCATGCAAATCAGTGAAATTCTATTGGTCGAGAGAGGCGGGGTAAGGCCTGATATGACCAATAAAAGGCCAGGAACTCCCACAATTACTCATCACTTTTACAATTACAAGACTGTGAAGTTGTGAGGCCCCTGAGAGTCTACAAGCAAATCAATTTCTCAAGGACTTTCTCCCCCCTTTTTTTCTTTTTGCTTTCTTTCTTTATTTTTTCGACTCTCTAACCATTAGGCCACGACTTCCCCAAATAATGTACACTACACTATGTTTGTGTACACTTTGTACACTTTGTACACTATGTTCACACAGAATAAACTAAAACACACCTGCGTGATTATTTGTCAACTTAAAAACAAACAACATAATTGTGTGCCAATCACAACGTGCTCTTGGCAGCATATGGAAGAGGGTCACAAATATCAGTGTGATTTCCATTCAGGGAGACAGACGGTCAGTGGGCGTGTTTAGCCACCCTGCGTCTCATTGGCCAGACAGAAACTGTTTGGACTCTCATTCTGACGGCACCCATTCACTGCAGAGGATCCTTTGGTGAGCAAGTGATGCTAAATTTCTCCAGATCTGTTCTGATGAAGAAAGAGCCCAATCTACATCTTGGATGGCCTGGATCTGGATTAAATTTTCAGCAAATTTTTATTTTTGGGTAAACTATTCCTTTAATATTATGTTAAAAATAGTATTTATTCGTTTTGAATGAAGAACATTTGGAAACGGCCCAACCCAGAAATTCCAAAGCAGACAATGCCTAATCCTTTATGGTTATGGTTTAGTCACATAGTAATCAACGTTAAAATTTGGTAGTTTGCAGTGCTCCGGTAATATTATCTTAATGAAAGACTGAGATGTAGTTTCCACATAAAACTTTCACAGTTTGTTTTGTACTTGCAAACCTCCACAATTGTGTTTTTATGTTTAAATGTATTTCATTTCTGGAACATTGAGAGTATATCAGTATGCACTTGCATGATAACGTTTAACTACAATTGCTTAAATAAATGAGATTTGTTGCATGTATAATATGCAATGCAAATAGCGGCACTGAATACAACAACGTCAGACTCACAGATTTGCACCTTTTATCTTACACAGTTCGGGGAAATATGTGAACAGTGATTCCAAATGTTTGCAAGAGCTCTAAATAAAACCCATCTGGCCAAGGCCATGACTCAAACTTCCAAGGCTTTCATCTCTTCAGTCTTATCCTTCATCCCCATCTCGAGGTTAGCAAAGCTTTTTGATTACATAAATGAGGCCAGTGCACGAGTCTATTGATAGTTGCATCTACTGCATTCATGCTGAAACATTAGATCCCAATGGGCATGAAACTAATGCCCATTTCAGCTGTGAATGTTGTAACTTTGTCTGCTTAAAGCCTCAAAAGGGGTAGTTGGAAAGATTTAGATTTTGTCTGGTTAAACCTATGAAACCTATAAAAGATTACTACTTTAAAATGATAAAATATTTATTATTAGGGCTGTCCTAGGATTCAAATAATGTGAAATTAATCATAATACTTTATACGTAATATAAATAAATATTATTTATGCATTTTTATATTTTTATTTTAAGAATTTTTAAAAATATTTTAATGCATTTATTTTAATGCATTCAGTACATTCTGAGGAAAGAAAATGTATATATATTTAGTCATTTTTTTACCCACAAGAGGATGTGAAGAGTCTATAAAAATAATCGGAAGTCTCACTTCTCAAAATTAATGTGTTAGAGGTTTCTTCGATTTTTAATAGAATGTTTAATTTAGACTACATTTGCGTCACTCATCGGAAGACATGTTGAAATTATGGCTAATGACAATGCAAAATGTCAAATTATGACAAATGCAGAATGAATATGAATTGTCAGGCAGCTGTTATTCACGGAAACCAATGAAAATGCAGTTTAGATCATATTATGAATAAGGTGGGTTTTTTAATACAATAATAGAGTGGTTTTCAAGTATAATTTCTGTAAGATTTTTAAAGATACAGATCTTTAATGATTATTTTATCAGATACATAACGTGTAATTGCATTTTGGCATCTTAATTCATTGTGCTTGAAGTTGTAAAACTACAAGGTGCTTCTTATATAAAAGTGTTGACATTTTAAGATTGCCCTCTACTGACAAACACACAAAAAAGATAAGATAAAGTAAAAAGGAGAGAATTTAGATGATAAGTTATGGAATAGGCTAGTTCATACTTTTTGAAAATGTAATGTGTATATAGGCTATATATAGAGAGAGCGAGAGACTATATATATAATGTTAACAGCGTTTATGCATAACCAGGTACATGTTTTAAGACTTTTAAGTAATACTTTAGTCAAGTAAATTACTAAATAAATACAATCTAAAAGAGGCCTGTAAAATTCTAGCATTCAGTAATATTTTTTCATCAAAAATGACGTCTGCTATATCATAAGATTAAAAAAAAATAGTTTTTACTAATGTCCTACTTATGTACATCTATGTATTTAGATTTATTCAGGAGGGGTTTAGACATTTTGACAGAGCAAATACAGCCTATAAGCATTCCGGCAGAATCCAGTCACGTGCTGATGAGGGCTTTCTCTCAGCGAGAGATAAGCCTCATTGTTTTGCTTGCATTTAAGTACGGGACTGCGAAACCGCGCATGGTGAAGTTCAGCGAATGCAATGGATTAGCATTACATTCGGTTGCAGCTCTTTTGGGTCCTTTAAAGGGGAAGTCGTCCAAAATGCATGGTGTAATAGTGAGCAACAGCTGGCCGACTTGCAGCTCTCAGAGAACCGTGGGAGAAATCCAAGTCTTTAATCTTTCCTAGACAGCTGGCCCCTGATGAAGAACACGCATGTGATTCCCTTTGCACACCATTATTATTATCTTGGATCTCGAAAGCACTGTTGCAGAAAAATCAGACGAAAAAAGACACCTACAGTTGACTTTAATCCCTGTTGTGACATGAATCAGTTCTGTGACTTTTAAAAGTGATTCATTCAATGACAGCACATGCGACACATCAGGTCACGCGGTGCTGAATGCAGCGTAGCGCTGTTTCATATGGAATAACACGGCTGTCAGTAGGGGTCTGAGTTATGTTTTTTGTCAGCGATACTCTTGCCGTACATCCCCCCTTGTTCCCACCAGAGCATAGAGATCTCTGTTCCATATGCCACATATGTTACGCCACATGTTCATGTTGTACGTACGTAAAGCACGCAACGAGAAGCTTCATACCACATGCATGTTTTGCCATAACTCTCAGTGGTAGAATTTCTCTGTAATTTGAGAAAAGCTTCATGCAATTGCAACATCAATGCAACGTTTGTAAGTCTCTGTAAAAGTCTCTGTAAAATGCGGTGTGGAGTATTTTTGTTGGGCCCCCATTTGAAAAACAAGTTTGAGTCCTGCGCAAATCATAACCCGACAGTCCTTGATGTTGGCACAAAATACTGTTCAATAAAAAAAATAAATAAAAAAAAAGAGTTATTACAAAAAAATAAATGGGTATAACAAAATATTATTCAGAATGAAGTTTTTATTTAAAAAATGTACTTTCAAATGTAAAAAAAAAAAATCAATAAAAGTGAGATACTGGTGTACAGGCACAATATTAAAGTAATTGTACATTCAAAAATAACCATTGTTTACTCGCGTCATGTTTCCAGCTTACAAGAATGTTCTCAGAACTTTCTGGCAAAGTTATGAACAAACATTCTTCCAAGCATGTTAATAGAACACTAATTCAAAGTTATTTCATTTTAATAATGTTATCAAAACGTTAACCCCAAAACGTTATTTATACATTGTTCATGGAACATTTTTCTAAAACATTTTAGTTGGAGGTTAGATTTTTCTTTTATTTTTTGTTACTTGCTGCTTGTTTCCGGTGGTTCAAAAGCAAAAGATGGTTCAGAACTTTCAAAAGTAATGTTCTCATAATGTTTGCAAAATGATCAAATTGAACATTCCCTTAATGTTTTTTATGTTATGTTCTAATGTTAACATAACCAAAAAAAAACACCAAAAAAAAAGTTTTGAGAACATTCCGAAATACTTTTTTTATAACTTAATGTGAATGTTCTTATAGAACATATTTTAGGTCATTCCAGGAACACAAAAAGAAATGAATAAAGGATCACAGGATAGTAATTGTCCATATTAAGTTGGTTAAAAAAACAAAAAACAAAACAATAAAAATAGTTTGAATGCTATATTTGAAGTCTTTTAAAGCCATTTGAAAGCTTTGTGAGGAAAAGATTGCAATTTTAGTCGTTATTCCTTAAAAATCTCATTATTGATTCATTTTAGCTAACTGGCTTGTTTGGACAGTTCATTTAAACAAAAAAAAATTTGAGTCACTTAATCATTTGAACTTTCTTTTTCCTCTCTCTCTCTCTCTCTCTCTCTCTCTCTCTCTCTCTTTCTTTTAATTTGTTGAAATACTTTTCCTAAATGATAGCTTGACTGTATCGAACAACTTTAGCCTGTAACTTAGAAGTAAGTAGCCCCAAAACTGATGGGGAGTCCTGTACCATTAATGTTAACATATACTTGTTTAAGCTAAAACAATACATTTAGTTAGTTTGTAGTGTGAATACAGCAGTTTCAGAGTACCCATAACACTATTTGGCATCAAAAAACCTCTGAAGATACCTTCACCTGTGATTTTTACCTGTCTCTACAAGTATGTTTTTGTGTGTGTGTGTGTGTGTGTGTGTGTGTGCACATCTTGTGAGTAATCGTTGAAAGTTTGACGTATCTTATGCAGCAGCTTTCATGGGCAATGAATGCCACAAAACTCAGATGCCCTTGGCACACCCGGGAGGCTTTTCTCTCAGCGTGGGCCTCACCACATACTGCTGCAAACTGCGTTTCACAAGTCCTCACTCCCAGGAGCATCACACTGAAGACGCTGGTTAAACCTCTCCCTCGGCGCCTTTCACAATACTTCTGATTAGAGCATGCCGAGAT